GCTTCCCGTCCGCTCAGCCGTACTTAAGCCACACGCCGGGAGGTTAGTAGTTGGGTGGGTGACCACCAGCGAATCCCTTCTGTTGTATGTTTTTTACACTTCTTTGTGATTACCAGTAGTAAAATTCTGGTTGTGTTTGTTGTCTGCGCTGAGGACTGGCACCGCATCCTCGAATGCATGTCTATTCATCCCGAAACTGGATTGGTACGGCAAATGCGTCCCTCACTGAAACGGGGAAATGCTATTCGGTCGGAAGTCAAGTGGATGCGCATGCATCTCGGGATGTTTCAACTTGGCGATCAGATCACGTCACCCTGTACTTCTGAGTATAATTATCGTCTGTCTGCTCGGTTGTGAGGCATGGCGTTTGTTGTTGGGAATAAGACATGATCCGTGCTTTCGCGCCAGGCCCTAATCCCACACCCTGCAAGCATCACACATACCGCAAGATCCGTCCCCCCCCCCTGCCCCTTCCTGGCCCAAACTTGTCTCTTTCTCTCTCTCTCTCTATGTCGGAATCATAGCTCTGCATCATCCTGACTCACAGAGGCCGACGACAGATCGAGCTCGGCGGTATCAAACTGGAAGTACGGCCCAAAGTTGATGACGACATGTGTGTCGGCCACCAGGCGCTGGATCGAGACGGTCGGATACAGCTGACCGCACACCGCCGTCGCTACGTCTCCTGGCAAGAGAGGCTTGTCAGCATGCTACATCAGTAAGTCACAACCTGAGACGGCAAGCCAGTCCCGAATGACGGCGTAATATGATGCGAGAAAGCCCGCTCCCGGCCTCGAGATTGACGAGAGACACCTCAAGGAGACTCACTCTGCTTCTCACCGTTCACGGTGAAGAAAATACTTTGCGACTGCCGGTCATACCCACAACCGACGACGTCCCCGGCGCCATAATATGGACCGTAGGGCTCGTGATGGCCGGCCGTGTGGAAATTACCGTCGTCGCCGTGATATCCCCAGGAGTCCTCCTTCCAGCCGACAAAGTCGTCAGGATGGACGTGTTCCTTGGACAGGCCAATTCCGACAACACTATGCAAGAGAAGAACAGAAGACATCAAAGGTTAGCGAGAATTATCTCGAGGGGCGATGCGAAACCCGAGAAGGACGGGGCATACGGTGAATCAGGGCTCTGTAGTATATTGATCTCGAAATAGAACCTCGACATGGTAAATGGAATGCAATAGTCGGCACGAACGGAGGCATTGAGTATATCACCGAGCTCAAAGGGGGTTATTGGAATGAAAGATTGAGTTGATCGGGTCTGAGAAAGAGAAGTACTATTTCTTTTTTTGCGGATTGTGGATCAGGAACATACCGGATAGCGTTGCCGTCTTTCTATCGCGCGACAGGGAAATCGTACAGCTGCGGTCAAAGGTACTGAACCCTGAGGGTAACATTAAGTGCGTCTTAGATAGAAAAGCCTGGTCAGCGCGCGGGTGGAGCAACTCCTCGAGCGCGCGGTGCCCCGAGACGCGGGCAATATCTTAGACAAGCCAGGAGTCGCGAGACGTTTGTTCCTGGAAGCTCACCAAATCGCCACCAAAGATAGTTTGTAGCGTGTGCTTGAAGCCTCGCGCAACGAGTGGAGCGACGATTGATCGTAATTGCCGCCGTCTAGCATCCCCGCTCAGCTCGTTCAGCAACAGCTCAAGTCTCTCGCACAGGTCGTCCGCCACATTTTCATGGGCTAATGCAGCCCAGTACAGCGGACTTCTCCCGCCATCGTCCACGCACTCGACGCTTGCCGCGTCGGGACGGAGCTGCTTGACCTCTTCAAGCCGCCGTAGCTGCGCCGCGTAGTGAAGTGCAGTGGCCGAGATCTCGTCCCGAATGTCCAGCCGTGCGCCGCGAAGAAGCAGGTGGTCGATAGGGATCCTGTCTTGCAGCAATGCGAGCATGAGTGGCGTTCTCCCCCAATAATCCTGGCGGTCGATGTTGGCACCCTTGTCCAACAGAAGATTGGAGGTCTGGATCAGATTTTCCCCGAGGGTATAGTGCGCCATGGCATACAGGGCGTGCAGCGGAGTCCCGAAAGGGCGGACCATACAATCGTGGGAATCATCGCGAGCGAGCAGTGAGATGCATTCAAGGTCTCCCCCAAGCACGGCCAGATGTAACGGAGTCCCGAAAGGTCCCCCAGCAGCAGTGGGGATAGCTCCCAGCTCAACCAGTCGCTGAACAACAGAAGTATTCGCCGGTTCACAGGCTAGATAAAGTGGTGATTTTCGTGGTTTTGCGTAGATGTTCGGGTCAGGGTTTCGTTTGAGCAAAGCCCAAATTACTTCGAGATTCCCCGCTTCTAATGCCAGACTGAGTGCTGTAGCCCCGTCGTCTCGGACAGCATTGATATCGGCTCCACGATCGAGGAGCTCCTCTACGATAGTCAAATTTTCCAGAGACGCAGCCCTCTGGAGAACGGTCTGTTGGGTCTCGTCGCGCTCGTTGCAGCTACAGCCGGCCTTGAGAAGCATTTTAACAACCTCCAGATTGGAGGCTCCAGCTGCCAGGATCAACGGGGTCGAGCTGGATTTTCTCTGCTTCATGAGCTCCAGATTGGTATGTTGCAACAGGAGAGACGTGATACCAGGTGAATCGTGCGCGAAGTGGAGAGCTGTCCAGCCCTGATGGTCTATCAGGTTTGCGTCTGCCCTTGTGGAAGCAGTGGAGGGGCCGTTGCCAGAGATTGTCTCCCCATTGACAGGATGCAGCAGATACCTGACCGTCGCTTCGCCCTCCGATCCAGACTTTGCAGCCAGATGCAGCAGAGACATAGAATCGCGATCTTGACAGTCTACCTCAGCCCCGAGATCTACGAGGAGGTTGACGAGGGACCAGAGGTGGTTCTTGGCGGCTACATGGAGGGGTGTTTCACGGTGCCCGTTTACTGCGTTCAGATCGGCACCATTTTCAAAGAGCATTTGGACGATGTTTACCTGCTGCACTGGATCAGCCATATCAGTTCCACAGGCCATGTGCAGGGCTGTATTTTGGTCAGACGCTCGAGACTTCGCGTCCCATCCATGGTCAAGGAGTTGTTTGACCGTCTCCGATGATTCACCTTTCTTGACGGCCATGAAAAGAATTCTTGGTGGCAACCGCTGGTCCATCGCTTCCGCCAGGATGTCCCCATGTGCAAGAAACTCACGCACCACAGTGCTGCGGCCATTGACTGCTGCCAGCTCAAGTGCATTGAGCTCCTGAATATCCTGTTCCTTGAGGAGTTCAATCACTCGTGCTCGAGGCAATTTGAGGATCTCGTGAACCACGCGGTGGTGCCCTATTCGGGCAGCATAATGCAAAGAGGTTTCCCACCCATCAGAAAATATCTCCATGCCATGGTCTAGCATATATCTGACGAGATCTACGTAGTCTCTTCCGACTGCCAGATCCAGGTGAGATGTGTATTCATCCTTCGGCAGCTCCACGCCGGCGTGAGACACGAGCTCCTCCACAATTTCGATATGTCCCGCCCTGATTGCATAACGGAGCCAGTCTAGGTGAAATGCCGGTTGCGACGCCACGTGCTGAGTTAAATCACGCAGAATCTCACGATGGCCTGCCTCTATTGCGAGTTCAATTGCCTTCAGATGAATTCTCTGTCTCTGCTCAGAGTCTGCGAGGGGTTCAAGAGCCCCTTTCAACAGGTTGCGGAAACAGGCCAGGTGGCCATGCTCTACCGCAAGCCATATTGGCGCCTCGCTGTCCTCCAATGGGTCTGGCATAAATGCCCCTTGGGCGATGAGAACATTGATTGTTTCTAGGTGACTCTCGCGGGCTGCTAACTGGACCGGGGTCTTTCCCCGATCATCGACACGGTCCATGTCCTCAGCGTCGGCGCACTCGACAATCAGCCTGATTGCTTCAACCTGGCCAGCCTCTGCAGCCAGATGCAGGGGCGTGCAGCTGTGCTCTCCTAATTCACTCCATGGAACTTCTGCGTGCTGGCTGCAAGTCTTGAGAGCCCGCAAGGTGTTGAAATCCCCCATCCGGGCTGCTAGATGTGCAACTGTGTTACCATCCGCATCGACGCATTGGACATTGACCCCTTTGCCTAACAGGAATTCGACAACCATGGTATGGCCGTTTTGCGCTGCCAGAAGCAGAGGGCACCGATCATCTAGACTATAAGAGCCTTCGAAGATGCCCACCCAGAGCTCCTCGATGACACTAGTGTGGCCGTACTCGGCAGCCACTAAAAGGAGTGATGGTTGTGGTAGGGTGTTTCCGAGAGCCTGTAGCATCCTCATCATGGTCACATTACCTTGAATGGTGGCAATCTCCATGGCCATCTTCACGTCATCGACGGGAGGGCTTTCTTGGACTGTCAAAATGGTCTTCACGGTGTCAGGCAGGTTGTGATGGGTGGCAAGACATAAGGGCTTGTCGCCAATATGCTTCCGTAGATCGACCCAGCCCGTAAGTTCGCAATGTCTATTCCAACTCCAACTAGCTCCACGTCCTGTAAGGAACTTGACGATGTCGGCTTTCAATGTGTCTGGCGGGTCTGGGATCTCTGCCGCATGCGTTGGCCAGTTACACACTGCGTAGTCAACAAGTTCCTGGACTGCCTCGAGCTGCATGGGTGTTAGATCCTTCCTCGCAGGTGTCAACAGTGTGACAACGTCCGCCATCATGTCGATGTATCGTAGACAAGTGCTGGTAATTGTGGCATGAAAGTCCGCTCGGTACAGCTGACTTTGCTGCGCGAAATATTCCCGGAAGGACCGATGCAAAAACAATTTACGCTGACCCAGGTAGAAAACAAAGCCTATGATCTCGTCGAGTTCCTGTCCAATATCACCGGACAGCTCCTCCATTAAATCTTCGAACCCGAATTCCTGGTCCGTCTCCACAAGATTAGACAACGCTACCGCGACAGATAGCTCCGTTAATTCCAGTGGATATGTTGCATGATAAATCCAGTTCAAAGCCAGGCGAACAGTGTGCGAATTCGATGACCGATCCAGCGCCATCCGGAAAACTTCCTCTGTCGAAAGTGTCGAGGCCATTAGAGCTTGACGCAATGCTCCTCGAGTCGACCTCATTGTCCGGTCCTGGAGACGCTGCAACCGAAGATCCACGTCAAAGAATGTGCATCCTTTTGTGTAGACTTTGTCCACAATGTCCTTTTCTAATCCGTGCCAGATGGGACGCTTGATGACCAGATTGGACGCCCCATCGGCGGCGAACTCATACACTGCAGTGTTCCAGGCGTCTAGGGCCGGGAGATCCAGGTGACGCAAGGATCCAGTTCCCGTACTCAAGGTTATTTCGTCGAACGCTGTATATAGGTCCGCTGAACCCGTAATTAGGATTTTCAATCGCGTCCCGAGAGAACAAAGACCAGCCAAACGTGTGCCTAAAAAGCCCCCTAGAGCACCATCCGGCTCGCATTGACTCAAGCCATTGATCACAAGAAATTGGGGCTGTTGGTCCGTCTGGACCAAAACATGGCGCAACAGCGCCCAGAGCTGGCCGCATGAGATCGACTTTTGCTTGGCCAGCAGTCGACACTGGCGCTGAAGGTGGGGGTATGTATCTATCAGGGACATGAAGAGTTGTCGAATGATGGATACCAGAAAGCTTCGCTCCGTTCGTCGGCGAGCATCATTACTGTAAAAGCTGAAGCTCAGCAGGGTCTTTGGCCCGAGCGCCTCGTCACATCGCAGTCTATGCAGCAGGTAAGAGGCGACGACTGTATTTCCTGAGCCCGTCGGTCCGGTAATACAAAGGGTTCTTGGCTGCGCCGCTTGCAGCCACTGACTATAGGCTTCCTGCTCAGCAATCCAGGCTATAGACAAATTTCCTTCGGGTATGACCGATCGCAAATGGTGGGTTGCGATATTTTGCTCAGACAATAATCTCTTGAGTGCCGCATATTCCTCAGATCGGTCTATTGCAATTAGCCAATCTCCCTGGCTACACAGCTGGAAGGTATATAAATCCCACGAGGAACATACGCGCGTAATCTTTCCGTATGGTCCGATCAATGTCTAGAAATATCTGTTGATTGATAGGGTCATCATCGCCTGATCCCCAGGTGCTCTTCAAGGGCATCTGCGCCATGTTAACATGTATCCACAACAAAACACGTTTGATGGGGTGGAGAGGGCATCGCACCATCCCTTCGTCAAAGATTTGGGGCTCATTGATATATTTGATGTGGTATGCATCGCAGACATGCCCAAAGTCGTCATCAACGCGTGCAAGAGTCTTGGGCAACGATGTGAGGAAGCCGGGTATATCTTTGTGCACCAGCCGGCCTGCTGCGAGCAATCGCAGTAGAAGACGCTCCCATCCACGCTCCTCCAGTGAGGGGGGGGATTCAACTAAGTACTGAGAGGCAAAATGAGATCCAGACTGAATTGGATGCCAATCCAGTCACGCACCAAGGCAATTGTGTTCAGCCTGATCCACTGGAGATCTCGCTTTTCTGATGCTAAAACAAGCACATAGAATAGTCCACGTATAATGGGTGTCAGGGGGCTGTAATGCACTAATACACGCATACACGAAGATACTTGCCTCCTTTACAATTGTCGCGCCAGTGTTGTAAGAAACGAAAATGATCGGTGGAGGCTGGCTTCGATAGGCCTAAGATTGCGTTATCAGGGGCAGGTTTCGTTAATGGTCGAGTTCGGTGTTATCGATTTTGCCTCACATTCAAGGAATCAAGGACTTGTTTGGCTGCGCTGTCAATGCACTCATCGCCCAGAGGAAAGGGGCCTTGAGCAGGCAGAAAGTCTAGCATCAATACAGAGGAGTCCGGAAAGCGGTATGCAAAAGACTTTTGCCACTTTTTGAGATCCTCCGCGCAGCCTTCAAACTCATCGATACCATTGATGAGGATGATCCTAGGAATAGAGGCGCTGCGTTAAGACTTGCAGAGAGCTTGCGGACGAAGGGTCACCAACAAAAGACTCTCGTTCATTTTTGTTTTCGGGAACTATAGATGGACATCAGTATCTGAGCCTGTTAACAAGGGGAGGAGACAGATTGAGTAGAAGAAGCTTTATCCCCCGTGGTAAGTATCAGCTTGAGCTGACAAGATGTTATGTTACCTACACCAGTAACTGAGTGGGCTCGTTAATCCACGCTAACTGCGGTGTCGAGGCAAAGTCACAAACAATCTGCTTTAAAAGGGGAAACACCCGAGAACCTAAGGGCTTAAGGGTGCAGAAATAGCTGATTGACCGTGCGATCTTCTCAAACGCAAGACGACCATCATTGGTCATGATTTGTCTATCCAAGCAATCATAGTACATATGCATGCAGCAAACAGAAGTCACAAATAAGCGGAGCCTAAAGATAACAGGCTTTCAAAACTCCCTAAATCAACATCCGGACATTCCGTGGTACTGTGGTGTATTTACAGTACATTATCAGTCCACTGTCACCCACTACTTGGCTGCCTGTTACTCAAACTTGACACCTTCCATGACCGCTCGCGCAGAGCTAAGCACTGGTACCATTGTCCAAGGACAAATTCAACGACACAGTCGCCTCACTCTCCGACTTTAACAAACTGGGCTGCTGGGAAAGGGATGTCATGTTGAGATCGGATGCTGCCGCATCGCCCCCAGGCTCGTCAACACAGAAGTACTGCGCGATGGGCAATTTCTCCATGGCCTGTAAGTCATCCTCTCGGATCCCAGTGACCGCGGATGAACGAACTTGAGTGGTATCTGGCATCAGTGTTACCGGATCGATAATGTGGTCGACGTCCGTGGTCAGCGGGAAAATCCGTCGAGCCGTGGAGCGGAAGTCCACTTTACTGTCCACTCGGAGTTTGGCCATGAAAGGACGATTCCCACTGCGCCTAATCAGAACCGCAGTCTGTAAGAATGAAGGCACACCATCTTTCTTGTGGCCATTTTCCTCCATCGACCAGATCACCGCGTTTTCGTTGGCCGACGAAGGATCACTGTGCCATGGTCGAGCGGAAACACGAGTGCTGTAATTGGAAGTTCTCGTTTCCTGGACCTCCCATCCAAAGCCCAGACCGGAGGAGAAGGGCCCCTGGCCCACTTGGGCAGAAGCAGTGGCGCTGTTCTTAGTCTCACGTGTGCGAGAAGTGCGGTTCAGATACTTGGTCATGGTGGGTGCCATCTCGACCACGATTGGGTCCTTGCTGCGGACCCCTCCCTGATCAAAAAACTCCAAAACAATCTTTGCCGTGCAGTAGCGCCGCCTACTCGCCTCGCTTTGAAAGCGGAAGTCAAACAGCAGGAGTGTCGCGGGGTGGGACTGCCCCTCATGGGTCATCTGGCCGTGGTGTATCTCTTCGATTTTGCCCCGCATGCTGAGGGTGGAGTCATTGGGGCTCGAAACCATCACAGCTCGAAACACCTCCCCGTCTTCATTTTTGGTACGAAAATCATTTTCGTCCCCTGTGGGGATGAGATTGATGGTAAAAGAAGTATCTGCCATGTTGCACTTGCTTATTTGACTGCCTCTGCTGCGAATTGATCTAGGAATGGTGTTTGCGGTCAGATGGGCGACAAAGCGAAGGCTCAAGGACCGCATCAATGATCGTTTCAATCTCTCATACTTATGTAGGTGGCTGGGTCCTTTCCTTTGCTCTGTGAGCTCCAGGTGAGGGGTATGAGAGCTGCATGCCTCGAGGTTTAGTCTAGGTAGCAGAGGTAGCAGCGGAAGCGCCCGGAATAAGGCGGAAGGGCAACTGATTCACCTGCTAGTGTACTCCGTACTGTAGATAACTACATGATGTGAGTAGCAGTGGGAGATCGGCGATCAGGAGCTAGAGTCGATCCTTCAATGCTGATTTGTCCAGAGATGATTGTTTGTTGTGCTGGCTGCAGCTGAATCACATCACAAGTCTCCGTACATGAACACGTCACACCGAAAAAGCAAACATCTTCCATTCAGGCGCTACTGTACTGTACTGTACTGCACACTACAGGATTAAGCCTCTAATTTCATAACCCCTCAAGGAAACATTTGAATACTTGCCCAAACAGGCAAACTTTACCCACAAACGACTCTATTAGAACCATCAAGTGATTTTAGTGGCTTGCTTCGAGGCCGAGTCCCTGTCGGAGGTCTGTACAGTACTGCGGGGGCGTGCTCTACTGTGCTTAGCAGAGGATCTGGCTTGTTTAAAGTGACTACAGTATAGCTGGGCTTCGTCCCTGAACAGCAGAGATTACCCTAATTCTTCAGTCTGTCATCATGCCAAAACGTTCATTACTAGGCCCTGAGACCTATATTACACGACCTAAAGAAAAGGAAACCTCTATTGAAGAAGTTCTGCAGGATGCGCAAAACATCGACTTTTCGCAACAAGACGACCATTCGTCCGTAGCGGAATTCTCCAAGCAACACGCGGCTCGCTTGACCAAGGTGCACACCCAAACGGTGGATGGTGAGCTATTGCATGTTCTCGCCAAGGACAGCAAGAAGACCCTTCAACATGAGAAATTCCTGATTTGGACTCTCAAGAAGCATCCAAATCTGCTCGGTTGCCTAACCAACGCGGGAAACACGCCCCTTCATACGGCCCTGGAAAACAAGAACGATGACATGGTGGGACTCATCCTCACGCATACTGCAGACCAACCGAAAAAGGTATTATTCAAGGCTGAAACGAAGGGGGGCGAGCACTGTCTTCATTCTGCCATCAACTATAACAGCCGCTACACCAGGGACCTCATCCACTTGGGCGTTTGCTACCAAAGCGAGGTAAAGATCTTCGACAAAATGACACACGACGATCGGGATACACCACTGAGCCTCGCGGTGCAACAAGAGGAAGACTCTTCAGCGGTTGTGGATAAACTTTCCGTGGCCAGTAGTCGTACAACCCATCTAGCGCCTCCTTCGTGGCCCCTGAAGAATATCGATAAGCTTTCGTCAGAAGATCGGCCTCGAAACAATTCTCGAAATCGACAAGGACTGGCTGGTCTTTCCCGGAAGGACACCGTCGAGTTCAAGCTCACGGCAGCGGATGATCGAAGGGACAGACCTCCGCCTGTAGCAATTGCACATGCTCCAGAAACGCAGAAACCGGCAAGCAGCACGAGGTCAAGTCCACTTCAAATAGTTCAAGACCTAGTTGATGCCATGCCAGCGGCTCTCTATCAATACCGGGATAAATGGGGAAACACTCCCTACCAGGCCCGGATTTTGCATCTGGAGCGCGAAAGACGTCAGCGAGCTCCGGACGCTTTGACCGCCGACACGCCCAAGATCAACCCTCAAGAGTTGGTCAAACAGGACGACATTGCTAGGTTTATCCGGTCCTACTGTATTCGAAGGCTTCCTCGTCGGGATGCCCTGACAGCCCTCTACACGGTTGGCGAAGGTTCTTACATGATCCCCCTCAACACCCAGTTGGGTTCGCGCTCGTTCTGACTACTTGGTAACCACTACTAGACCTGCAGATTGACTTCGACTTATCCGGACTTCCACTAGTCACTATAGATACCAACTACCTTGACCGACTGTCTCAGGTTCTCAGATTCGAAAGCATTCTCAACTATGTTGCTCTCCCACGGCTGTCGGTAGAGGAGGCGAGCCCCGCCCCGCCTGTGCCAGAGTCACAGCGCAAGCCTCAGGAACAGTAAGTGGCCGGCTGAACTTATTCAAGAGCCAACTCACCAATTCAATTGAGATTTAGAGGAAAGGGCAGTAGAAGTTTAGCCAACATCTTCAGATGGCTCAAGAAGCATGGTGTTGAGTCGATCATTCGCGTTGTTGTAATCGATGATACGGACCCACCACACTCAGACGAAGCCATCGAAGAATGTCTCGATGGCCTGAGAGTCGAGGTTTGGAACTGGAAGAAGATCGATCTGTGCACAGATGTCATAGCGAAGGTGGCTCTGGAAACTGTAAGGGAAGTATCTCTGTATTCATCGGGCAACAATGCAGTTCTTCTGGGGTGGTCGAGCGCTGACGGCCTTGCCCGGTTTCCCAATGTAGGGTTTCCCGCACTCTTTGCTACCCTCGCCTGGTCCCTCCTCAACCATCCTCGTACCCACAAACACTCCCTTCAGTCCAATACAAACATTGACCCCTCTTTATGCAGTTGGAGAAGGTTCATCTGTACGTGCGAGAGGTAAGAAGATCTGACCCGAGCAAAAAAAAGCCCGCCATGGCCGACCACCGAGTCGACCAAGAAACCAATGTGACTTCTAATGTGATTCTTGTCAGGGCCTCGAAAGTCCAACAAGGTTGGAAGAACATATGAAACTCTTCGAGCACCGACTTAGACAAGGGAAACCAGACAAACCCAAGCTGGAATTCAACTGGACGACTGATAGCACGAAGGAAAGCTATGCCTCCGGGTTCCGGGAAAAGCTAACCTCGATGACGAAGTGAGCGACAATCCACCACTCAGCCGCGCATTCTCGTTCCTCTTGCTGACTCGAATTGTACTCCTTCTTGGCAGGCGAAACCCATGGTTAGAACTCATGACACACTTTGGGGAGTTTCTCCGATCGGCATCACCGGCCATGGAGCATATCAAGATTGCGGTGATCGACGATGGCATCGACATCGGGCTCGACATCTTCAACGACAAGATCGGCGCGGGCGACTCGTTCTTGGTCTTGGACGAGGTTTACGGGAAGCGCGGGGGAGCCTACTACGTTCCTTCGGGGAGTCACGGAACGCTGATGGCGCATCTGATCTGCACCGTGTGCCCAGTGGTCAAGCTCTATGTGGCTCAGCTGGAGACCGTGGACCGTTCCGATGGACGACGCTCGTTTACTTCCGAGTCTGCGACGGACGTAAGTCACCACACGCCCCTCCCCTTCCTCCTTTCCTCTCTTCCTCCATTAGCCCCCTGATGATCGAATACACAGGCAATAAATTGGGCCGTCGATCGAGACGTCGACATTATCTCAATGAGCTGGTCCATCAATTCCAACCGCGAATTGACGCATCTCAATGACGCCATCGGCCGGGCCGAGAAGAACCAGATCATCATGCTGTGCTCCGCCATTGATCAGGGCAGCCACGTCCGCGACAACACCTATCCCGGGAAGAATAAAAACTGCATCAAGATCGGCGCGTCGACGGTCACGGGGGAGCGGCTCGGCTGGGTCTCCAAGGACGCCTGTGACTTTTTGTTACCGGGAGAGAATGTCTCCCTGCCGCGAAAGGGGAGTTCTTCCTCCTCCCAATCGGGCCCCACCACCTACCCCCAGGCCGGCCCATACGGCAGCTCGGTCTCCACCGCGCTCGCAGCCGGGTTGGCTGGCGTTCTGCTGTATTGTGAGCGGCTGTTGACCGGCCCCGCCCCCGAGGCTGGGACTACCAGTAGTCCTACTAGCGACCCGGTGTTGCCGTATCGGGACCAACTCCGAGGGCTTGGACAGATGAAAGTGGCGTTTGACAACCTCGCCAAAGGTGGGGATGACAAGTTCATCCAGGTGGCGGACCACTTTCGGGAGGAGTTTAAGAACATGGTTTGGAATGAACGTGATGCGGAAAAAACAGACGACACTCGTCGGAAGCTCCAACAGCTCATGGCCACCATCGTCAACAATTCGACAGTGACCAGTTCTAGGCTTTGGAATGTTTGAGAAAGGAATAGATAGCCCTTAGATATGCTGACTGCGTCAAGATATAAAAGTACTGGGATTCTCTCTTCGGCTTCAGCCGTCCCGTCTACCTCCCATGTGTCTTTACAGATCCTTCTTTCTGATATTGCTTTTCTCATTGTATCAGTATACATACCGAGTCCGTTCTTTTCAGGGAGTGGGTGGAGATAAACGTCCAAACTTCTGCGGCCGGGACTCCCGACCCTACCCGCACCCGGCCTGGCTAGTTGTCCTGAATTAGGGCTCAGCTTCCCCATGCCCGTGTCAAAGGATGCTTGTTTAGATCTACATAACGGGGTACAGATTCACGAACATATAAAGTCCTCCACAGTTCCCGCACTACCTCGTAGTCTGCTCAGAGAATCTTCTGATCTCTTTCACACCTATCTTGCTGTAGCGATGGTTCCCTCTTCTTGACTTCACAACATACCATACTTCCGCATGTATGTACCCCACGAGTTGTTAAACCATGTAAGCTTCTCGCGTCAGCCTTCTTGCTTTCTCAGCTCAGTGTGCCGTCAGAGGATGGGCGGTCCTGTACGCACATATTAAGGGCCGAATGACACGCGCAGAGGTAGTGTGAAGGGTGGGGGGGAAGAGTCCTATTCATGCTTCAATCGAATTACGCTCGTAATGTATCCACCCGAAATTTTGCCGAGATCTTCTTCCCTCCACCTCAGTGGGATTTGGTTGTCAAATGCTTCCGTATCACACCCCTCAATTCTTGCTAGAAGGTTTACGAGTCTGCGAGGGATGGAATAGGGAGTGTGGCACTGCCAAGAAAGCCTCGAAAAAGATCAGATATTATAGAGAAGTCAGCAGGCAGTGACTTACAGGATCTTATTTTCAGAGTTTGCGTTAGGCGGATGCGGCGTGGAAGAATCTTCGAGCATCAGGATTTGACCTAGCTATATAAAGCTGCGTGTTGTTGCTTCTAGTACATACGACCACAGGGTGTGGACA